AGAGAGAAAAATAAGGATACCAAGGATAAAACTTTGAAAGAGAGTGAGCCTCGGTTCTCCTGCTATACCCTACAAAGACACCATACCCCTCAATTTATGGTTTACAGAGATCTCCAAGCCCTCCTACCGCAGTGTGGGCAGACCCAGTTCTTCAATGTTCTTAAAATATTATTCATTCCTAAGCTCCCCCAGAATCCCCAGCAGACATCTCAACTCTTCAAACTTCTCTGCGATAGCTTTACCATAGGTAGGCTGGTGCCACATGGAAACTACACTTAAAAACTCAAGGTACGGTCCTTTTTCTTTTACCTACTACCTCCTACTCCTTTCTTTTTATTTTTTATCCCAAAGCAACCTGGGCTCTTGTTTTCTAGGCCCAGGCACTAGGTTAGTAGTAACATAAAGCAAATGTCAGGAGCACAAGAGCCACACAAAATACACATAATGGCAGGAGAAAGAAATATGGAGATGGGAAACTATATACTCAAGACTAACATCCATATAAGTAGGCTTAGGAGCTGGGAACTGCAGTGTTGCTCGAAAAGAGGAACAAACTAGTCATCCACATTCACCCCAACAAAAGAGTTGGAGAAAAAACAGAAAGATCAAAGTTATATAAGCTGAGGAATTGGGGGTATGGGGGAAGAGAAGAAATGGAATCAATCTAGGAAACACTATTTCCATTCTAAGAAGGGGAACCATCATATCTGTACACAGCCTGGCAGTCATGTGATAGGAAAGGGAGAGGTTTTGATGGTGTTTTGGTGGTGATGCTGACAAAACTGATGACGGTGATTATGGAAGTAAGACCCTGAGTTGCCACAGGGATGGGGAAGCCAAGCTGCAGCCAAGACTAAGGCTGTCACAAGGAAACCATCCCAGGAGGGACACTTAGTGAGTGGCTCAGAGACAGCAGGGTGTCAACTCAGTGGAAGGAGAGGCAAAGTCAGTGTCAAAACTCAGAGTCAAGTGTCTAGAGGTGACATGATGAGGAGGAATGACACTGAGTCAGAAGCAAACGTACTGTTAGTCGGATGCTTTGCAAACGATAAATTGTTTTACGGTCGGGACAAGCAAGAGTTCTGGGGAGAAAAGACATCATGGGGATTATACCCACCCTTGTCCCCACCCTCTGCTCTGGAGTTTGCCCACGAGATAGTCTGTCATTTTATTTTATTTTATTTATTTATTTTGAGACGGAGTCTCACTCTGTCGCCCAGGCTGGAGTGCAGTGGTGCGATCTCGGCTCACTGCAAGCTTCGCCTCCCAAGTTCATGCCATTCTCCTGCCTAAGTCTCCCGAGGAGCTGGGACTACAGGCGCCCGCCACCACGCTCAGCTAGTTTTTTGTATTTTTAGTAGAGACAGGGTTTCACCGTGACAGCCAGAATGGTCTCGATCTCCTGACCTTGTGATCCACCCACCTCGGCCTACCAAAGTGCTGCGATTACAGGCATAAGCCACTGCGCCTGGCCAGATATTCTTTACTTTAAAGTTAGTTATCTGACCTGCTCCCCTCCCCATCTCTTGGATTTCTAACTAACACATGTCAATCTCTTTTCCTTTGGTAAATCTCTTAGGAATCTATGTGTCATCTCTACTATAATACACCCCTACAAACAACCCTAATTTTACCACTGTGTCCTCTTTCTGGTCATTTGGAAATAAAATCTTCATAGAAATATTATCCCTTCCCACAGTCTCTTTCCACATTATCATTTCTGCCTTAGCTGAGCAACATTCCCTTCCCTAAACCCAATTTGCTGGATTTTAATTGAGGTTCCACTACATTCTTCCCAACCATGCATCATCCTCCTTGGTCCTTACCACTACAGGACAGAATCTAGGAAAGAGTACAAACTGATGCAGCAGGACTGTATGTGGGAGATTATGAAGGGATAAGCATAAAAAAGTAGTATTTTTATGGCAAGAGGGAATGCAAATGGAGGGGTAGAAGGGGTCCTGGTTCTTTCTCCCATCTATTACTGATGAAGAAAACTTGTTATAAGGCCAGTGTCATCTTTTTTTTTTTTTTTTT